TGGCGCCAAAATGGAATTGAACTTGGGATCAAGCTGTCCATGAGGCGGAGTTGTAGGCGATCATACTTTCGGCAGAAATCTCGCTTAAAATGCCTGAGCTTTGAAGAGTGGGGCAGTGGGGGGTGAATAGTGCCGCAATTTCTCACGCTATTAGTGGATTCGCTCAGTTAGCCCCTCCTTCTAATTGAAAACTTCTGAAGGCTCACAATACTGCCAGAATGTGAAGGGTATGTAGGGGTGTAGGTTTATTTGTGGCTCTGTTGCCCCCTTGATTTACCACCGATGTTCAGGTGAAAAACCCGGGAGCTCGAAGTACTGGCGAGCAGATGGAAGTGTTCTACAGTCGGACAACTCATCTTCTCTCACAGCCAAACTCTGATGATGAAGATTTTGGTATGTGGTTATGTTTCGCTTTTGCCTCATTCTTTTGAGAATGCTGAAGAAACTGGTAACACGGCGGCAAGGTTGGAACTCTTCACCTTCCGGCACTGAAGAATCGCCCAATCAGGAGAATCATAGAGTAAGCGAAAAAGATAGGACAGGTATCGACTGGTTCTTAATTTTCCAGTCTTCCCAATATCTGATCCTTCACGCTACCTAATCATTACCGCCAGTTAGGACCCTTTTTCAAATTTGCTATGAACAGTGGTTTTCCAGTGTCGAAGGGTATGATCGGCTACCTTAAAACTACGAATCTCTACGCCGTCCGACCGACAAGTTTGGAGAGTTAGGCTAACTGCCGGCGTTCTTCATTTTGTTTTGAGTATCACTGATATGATTGAATCCACGTGGCTATCCTCTTTGAACTGAGTAGGTATTAAACATCGGTTTGGAGAGGCGACGAGGTTTATGCGGATTTCGCTGCGGGAAAACGCTGGTAATTTCGTGTTTCTATCTCGACCGCGTTGTTCCTGTTCAATCCGCTGACATTTACGTTCTTCCACTGCCTCTCATGGTACGTAACCTTTTCCCCGTTATTCCATAGCACATGGTTTGTTTGGAAGCTTTTTCGAGCCAAGTTTGGTCAAAACGTATCCATTAAAAGTTAAGCTTCACTCCCAATGGCGGGACGTTCCCAGTCTAGGAGTTCTCCAGAGTGAGACCTCTGAGATAAGACTATCGAAAGCGCAAAATGACCCCTTTTTCCAGAACAGCACAACGTTGTTTGTGCTTTCATTATTAATGTTGAATGTTGAAGCATTTTGTGAAAAGTTCGCGGCGAATTTTCATTTTGCTTTGAAGTTATTGAATAATTTCTTAGCCTATTGGTCCCTTAGGTAATGAAAGTTGGAAGCTATGGGAGAGTGATTCTTCTGGGAATGAATCCACAGAAATTAGCTTTGAATATGAGAGTATCTTGGATAAGAGAAATCGCCGAGAGCTAACAAAAGCAGCAGACTCCCGAGACGGCGTGGAGAAACGAGGGCGTAAGGGGGGGGGGGATAGCCGAAAATAAAAGGCAAATCTCACCATGTTTGTCATAGAAATGGATAATTGCCAACGATTTGAATTCAATACCCGTTCGGAATATCTTCGAAGTCGGCTAATCAGTGGCTGGGCCCTAATAACTTTAGGGGTTTCTGAAGGACTCCTTGGACAAAACTGGGATTCTGAGGGGGGAGGGGGATACTGAAGGGGATCTGTGTTTCCTGAATGGGTTTACCTATTCTGAGTTTAGTCACTCCATCCTTATTAGAACATCCCAGTTCTACCAGAAAATTCCCGTAAATGCTCCCCCTAGCTATCTATAGGTCGTTTCATTTAGTTTTATGGCTAAAAAAAGGCGGAGCATCCAAGAATGATGTACATTTTTCAGCAACCCTATCCGACTCGGAGGTCACAGGAGAACGCTGTAGAGTTGACTCACTTCGTCATGGAGCTGGTGCAAGTGACGATGAAGGGCGTAAACATATGGTGCTAAAGTATAGAAGAAGACGAGGGGGACAATGGAGACAAGTACAACGGAGTGATAGTCCTGTCCGTAAAGGAGATGAAGATGAACTAGAGGTCAGTCCCTGCTTAAGGATCAGAATTGTGTTGTGAGTCAAGTTCTTGTTACAGTTGATATCGTCGCACTCAGTCGGGGCGGTGTCAGGAGGCGTGGAATAAGCTCACCCTGCGGTGGTCTCTACCAGTGGTGACTTTCTTCCAAATCGATCGCCAGCTGATCGCTATCATTAAAAAAGGAAGCCGGAGATTTCACAGTCTCGTTTCACCATTCCTGACTCCGCCCGGACTGATAGCGACGAAATCCACTGTAATGCACCTTGGGAACAACTTTGTCGGATTCGGTCATGCTAGCCCACTGATGCCAGAGGTTTCACAGAGAATAAGTGACTTGGTTCGTGATTTAGTTTAAGGGTGGGGGAGGGGGTAGTGTAGGAGTGAAGAGGGACATTATTGAAGGAGGTTCATCAGCTCCAGGAAAGATTAATCATATTTCTAGACTTTCGTCAATTTCATTGCGTGGTTCTGTTCCACCTAGGGAGTAGGGTTGGGAGGGGGCATCCTACTGATTGCTGTCAAATTCCTGTCCTGCCACGCATTTTCTGGCTCTTGCAGGATTATAAATGGTATCAGTTTTGTTCGCATGTCATTTCTGAGAATTTTCGGAATGCTGGAGGTTACTTAGAACCCAGAGGTGCGCAGTAAATGGCTGTGAGCCGAAGGGAAGGGGTAATAGTTCTTGCCGTAGCCCCTGTTCTTTTTGGAATATGCTATGGGATGGCTGAACCAACTTGAAAAAAAGGTGCAAAAGTTTTAAAAATGGAAAATAAAGAATCGTTCGACCTGCTATGGGAGTGTACAGGAGTTTCTTGAACTCCTTAAAGTGTCCTTCCTTCACCCATCAAACCGACCTGTATGGGAGTGTACAGGAGTTTCTTACAGTCCTAAAGCGTCTCCCCCCTTCCCCCATCAAACCGAACAGCGCCGTTCTGACCAGGTTAGAATCCACAATTCCCTCTATACCTTACTTGGGTCCACTTTTCAAAAACTACAGGATTTAGAAAAAGGAACCCCGAGAGATGCCCCCGCTCAACATCCACAATTGCATGTTGTTCAACCTCCCTCTGACAGACTTTGCTGTAAACTGCCAAGGGATATCTCCTAGGAAATCAAATGTGCCCCACCCCCTTCCATTCCGTTGCCGAACAATCCTCAACAGTGTTGTGCGTGTGCACTGGTACTTGATGTTCCTTTACAAATCGATTTGTTTAAGGTAGACGTCACCGAGGAATGCTCGGAAACGACGGGTATTGTTACAAAGGTTAGTTATCCTTTTCTATCTTTCTCAAAGTTTGAAGAACAAGTAGGCGAACATTTTCTTGCAATAAAACCGGTTTTATGCCGTAACTGTAAGATGTAGAAGTTTGTTGACCTGTTGTGATGGGTAATATACCAGTGAAATGTCTGATAAATTACCAAAGGAAATGGAATCGTTGTGAATGGCTTCGTTTAGACTTACGAGGCTCGTTGGAAAGTGTTGAAATACGAACATTTGCCGGAATGGTTGCAAGATAACGAGTTCTTACGGTATCTCCTTTCTCCCACGCTTTCAATTTCTGTTATGATTTTCCTTATTTAGTCACGGTCACCGCCCTCCACTGCCCTCCGTTGCTGAATGCTTTAAGAGTATTTGGTCGCTTCATACTGAAACGGGGAATATTTGGACTCATCTCATTGGTATGCTTTACTTCGATTATGAATTTTCTTTTTTGCTTTTAGAAAAACCTTTTGGTAATTGTATTCAATTCTGAGGTTTTTTAACTGTACTACTATTTGCCGTTTACATCTTGCTAGACTTGGACTCAGTTCTCGAATGATTCTTGCCTGTAAAGTTGGCCTAGGGCACAGCACCCGTTGGGACACAACCCCGTGGTAGTGGTTGGGCCGCCCCTAGTCTACAGCCCCTTAAAACTACTAGGCAATCACTTTCTCTTACGGTCTTATGGTAGGTTATGGAGGATTTTGGTGGTTATTTAGCTGTTTGGATGGCGAGCATCCCCACCCCCTCCCCCGCTAAAATTTTTGAAAAATACGAAAATACGTTGTAGGAGGGGGTCGTAAAGAAGGGGAATCCTCGATAAGTATGGGTCGTATCCATGCAGCATGTTGGACATGTGCAAAGCGGAAAACAAGCTAGCTCCTTGACACAGTCCTCCACTGTATATTTATCCTTTTCTGATGTAATTTACTAATTTGAGCTTTTCTGGTGGTCTGAATTTTGATAGCTGCTCTAGTGAGTGGTAACTAGTGTCCGAATTTCTATTCATAGCCTTCTTTTAGGCTGTCTGGCGTTCCTCTGCCTAGGAGTATGGTTTCTCACTCGCCCACATAGCCATATTCAATGGCAAGAGAAGATTGTGTTCTCATTTTTCTTTGGTGGTGCCGTTCTGTGCTTAGGTCTTTCGTTTGCTTTTCACACTTTGTGCTGTCATTCAGTTAATGTCGGCCGTATTTTCTGCAAGTAAGTCTATTTTTATATTTCGTTGTTTGCAGCAGGTATAGTTATTTTGACGAATTCCATCTTAGGCTCGATTATATGGGCATATCACTTTTGATAGTTGGATCGTTCATCCCGTGGATTTATTACGGATTTTATTGTCGAATGGAGCCCAAGATTACGTATATTGGGATGGTGTCCGTGTTAGGTGTTGGTGGGTGGTTTTTGACACTTTTCTGGCGCAGTTCGGCCGCCGGTGGGGGCAGTTTTGCACCCTCGCTGCTTCACAAGTTCCGATTTACAAGGTGAAGCCTGTGAACTCCACTGTCGCTCAAAGCCACCACTATTCCATGGCTTCACAAGAATTCACAGGTCTTCACTTGATGGCCCGACACGTCTACCGGAAGTAGCAAAAGTGCAAAATGCCCCTCCTTTGCCAAACTGCGCCTTTTTTCTTTATTTACCACTGTTGGAACTTCGTTATGAGACGCCGTGATTCCAGGAGCTATAATCGTTTCACTCTGGGACAAATTTAGTGAATCTCGTTTTCGGCCTCTTCGAGCTGGCGTGTTCGTGGCAATGGGATTGAGCGGTAAGCGTTGAAAA